ACATTAAACCAAACAAAACTGCACCGCCTATATTCTGACTTACAAAAATGACAATTTCATTTGGTTCAACATAAGTGCTTGTGTAGGCATAAAATATTAGGGGAATACACAAGGATCTGAAGAGATGACTCAGAGGATGGGTCTGAGCTGGGTGAGTGTCCAGTGTACCCTTTAACACATGTGGCTTACCATGCGCATTTGTTACTGTTTTTTTTTAAAAGTGGGTACACCCAAAGAAGACTGAAAAAAGTAAATGTTTTCTTCAAAAGCAAATTCAGTTGCTTCTAAGTAAAAATAAAGAGACCACAACAGCAAGAGCGAGGAATAATTCACCAAACCAACACACACACACACAAAAGAATTTGTGAAATTTTCAAAGAAACATAAAGTGCTTGCTACCTCTGGTGTTGGAGAAATTTAGGGAAAAAAAAGCAAGAGAGGAGTCAGTTAAAGTCTGTCTGTCTGCTACCAATCACAGTTGGGATCTGATGAAAGGCAGTATCATATGATGGGTAAATATTTAAATGAATACCAAAAGTTCAAGTAAACACCAAGTTTAAATATACATGATTTTCCAAAGCAATTCAAAAACCATTCAAGCTAAATATTCCCTTTCTCCAATTAACATTTCCCTTTACATAGTTCATCATATCCCACCAAAGAATCTGAATTTTCCATAAGTCCCACAAGAATGAATCGGGCAAAGCCTAATCATGTACATTACATAAGCTGCTGGAAACGCAGCAGGTACAGAATATGCCTGATTCCTTTCTCTAGATTCTTGGACTGAGAAGTTCTGATTGCTTCAGTTACAACGATCATTCTCAAATGCCGTATAGTTACCAACTCGTATTTGAAAAGTATACTTTGAGAAGGACCAGAATAAAACAGACATCTCATCTTCTAAGCCAGGTTTCCTGGGATGAACACATTCCTCAACGTGAAGATCTGAAGGGGAGAGGTTGCGGCAGGTGTGGGGGCGCAGGAGGCAGCGCAGTCCCCCATCCCTGCCTCACTCCATCTCCTGCATTTTCCAAGTGCAACATTCGCAGGCCCGGAGGGGTTTTGAAAGGCTCTTGGCCTAACTTATTTATATTCACCCAAAGGTGGTTGGATTTAGAAATTGCACACTATTCTGGCATTACAATCATCACTGCCACTGCCACCTTGACCATGTTTGAATGAAGCATCTGTTTTCCCACATACATCTCACCTCAGGCTTCCCCACACACACTTCATCCTTCTGCATGCAACTGGTCTTAAAATACTTGTATTTCTCTTTTCAAGATCATTGTTCACTATTTTATACTTGATGTTTAGTGGTCACTGTTTTTGTTCTTCTTTTGTTCCTTTTATCATGTGCATTTTTAATTACATTTTGTTTACTTTTTATCAAATATTTCAAGTACACATAAAAGTACAGAGAATAACATTAACAAAATGAACAACTATGTGCCAATGGCATACCACCTTAGCAAGAAAGGAACATTTTGCCATATTTACTTCAGCTCTTTTGGTAGTATTTTGTTACAGTTGACATCACTGTGAACCATCCCTCCCAACTCCAGTCCCCCTTCCCTCCTTCTCTCCCCAGCCACTCTCTGGGTGTTTAACATGCCCATGCATTTTAAAACATTTTTAATACACAGTCTGTATATATGCATATTGTTTTGCATGTTTTTAAACATTAATAAATGGCATCACAGTGTACAAATCATTCTGCAACTTGCTTTTTCACCCAACATTGTGTTCATTTTAACTGCCATATAGAATTCCATTGTATGAATATACCATAGTTATCCATTCCCCTATCGATGGCCATTTAGGTCGTTTCCATTTCTTTACTCTTACAAACAGTGCTATCATGAAGGCTTGTACATATCTTCTTGGGTACACATTTGAGAGTTCAGAGGATATGAGCCCAGAAGTGGGCTGCAGAGTATGCACATCTTCACCTTGTCAAATTGCTCTCCAAAGTGATTGTACCAATTTACACTTTCTCCAGCTGAATATGAGAGTTTCTTTTGTTCCACATCCTCTCAAACACTTGGTATTATGAGATTTTTAAGCTTTTGTCCATCTGATGGGCATAAAAGAGAAACTCATAGTTTTTAATCTACATGTCCTGGAAGGATAATCATTTCCTCACAAACATTATTAACTATTTGGACCATTTATAATTTTTTTCGACTTTCACATTCCCTTTTATTCTACCATCACCTTCCCATAGTGATTAGTAGAGACTCTACAACCAGGCTGCCTGGGTTCAAATTCCGTCTCCATCAGATCCACCTAGTGTCCTCAGACACTTCGCTATGCCTCAGTTTCATCATCTATAAAGAGGCAGTAGCACCTACCTCACACAGTTGTGAGGATTTTACGAATACACATTAAGTGCTCAGAACAATGACAACCACGTTGTAAGATATAGTATTATTATTTTTACCCTTTAAGATATTAATCTTGCCAAAGTTCTCTTTTTTAAATTGAATCTCTTTTTCATTTAAAGTTTCAACTTATATTTTCTAAGCTTTTAGAATAAATTATTTTAGAAGTTTTAGCATTCAAGACTTTAATCCTTTTATTCCTTTCAAGTATTAAACTGTCCCATTTCTGTTGTCTTTGGACATCTCAATTCTTGCTTCAATGACAGCAGAGAAGGCTGAGCTTGCAGAACAGCTGAGGAGTGCATCCTCACCAAATGGGGAGGGTAGATGCTTTACCCTCAGCTGTCCCTGCAGCTGCTCAGCCAGATTTCCACAGCAGATCCAGCATCCCTCTGCTTGAGAGCTTCAAAACGTCTCAACCTTAGTAACTCAGATAAAAGTCTTTCTCAGGCATGAGTCCTCCTGTGTCAATGGCACATCTGAATTACTGGCAATGTGGTTCTTTCCTTAAGTCACACCATATAGTCACCTGAGTAGGAGTTATATATACTATGGACTCTGAAAACGTTATCCCTACATCATTGAGCAAATCATAAAGACAATGTGTGAGGAGGTAGGAAACACCAGCAAAACCAGTGTGGTAAAACACTGCATTAAATAGGCATCCAATATGGTGACTGCCTAGTAAGAAACAAAGGGCTGTCAATGCTGCTGACCTGGCACTAGTGAAATGTAGATGGTATTAAACCACAAGCTAGACCATCAGCAAGGAGGTACAAGGATAGATCCGCAAGCTGCTCTTGGCCTTTACCTCACCAAGCTACCTGGCTCCTGTACTTCTACTTTGATTCACCTCCTGTTGCAGCAGGGTATTAGAAGGATCTTCCTTGTATGTCTAGCATTCAACACTCACGAAAGAGAGCAGAAACACCCTGGTTTGCCTCTCAGCTCTCGGAGGTGGAAAAGCGGATAACCTTCTGCCAGGCAATTATTTCAGATAGGTGCCTCGATTTTCACTAGAGGCTAGCCAAGTTGCCAACCTATTCCTCTGATCTTGAAAGCATACAAATTCACCTTAAAACAGCACAAAATAAATGCAATTCTGGACCTAGCCAGAGGCAATAACCTAAACACATTTGCAGCTCATTTCTTGTCAGAACCCGTTGAGGACAGTGGTATTGATGGAAGACTGTGTCAAGCCCATCCATTCCTCTAGTCTAGATAGCCTCGGTTTATCCACGGCTTAAGCCATCTAAAAGCTGCATAACGTTAATACAGCGGTATTCTCCAAGGTGGTGATTTTTATTTTCTTCTTTTTAAACTCTTGTATTTTCCAAATTTTCTACCATGAGAATGTGTTCTGTTTACAATAAAAGAAAAACACAATAAATGTTATTTTTAAAGCTACATACTTAGCATATACTACCTTCCCCATTCCCACCCTCCCGAACAAGTGCTTTCACTGAAAAACAACTGACAGCAGACTCTCAGCTTTCACGAGAAAACTTTATAAAAAGAAGTATTTGTGAAACCCAAAACTGTGCTTTCAGGGAGTTTTTTTTTATGCATAAGAATACTGCTGAGATTATTCTCTACTCCATCACTCAATTAATATTACAGGCCAACTTCTTTCAAAACTAAACACTAGGAAAACTGTTTCACGTGAGCAATTGGTGTCCTGTTTCTTTATGGACAATAAGAATTAAGTAACTTGTCAAGCTTCCCCTTTTCATTTTGGCAGCTGAAGGTCAGAGGCAAATGTGAATTATAACTAATATCTATGCAGGACCTTATGCCTATGTAGCTTTGTTTTGAGGATCCCAGATTCCAACTTCATTTTCTGGTGTGTTCTCTTTTGAATATTCTTCTACTGTGTGGATGTATTCTTGAATCCAACCTACACCCTTCTTATGGTAAGGCAGGACGAAATTATAATAGCCTACCTGCTCAATATTAATGCTTATAATTTATGTCCTAAAAATTTTATACTGGGGAATAAAATCATAGTGCAGTATCGTTCTCAACCTTTCTTAGCTAATAAATACTCAGTTCAAATTCAATATAAGAAACTAGAAATTAATTATGATCCCACTCTCATACTACTAAATTTCTTTGCTTTTTTCCACTTATGAAGGACATTTACTTAATTTTTTATAGCAGGATAAACAGAAAAAATGAAAATGCTTCTTTTATACTATACAGATTAATTAGCAAAGGATAAAGAGGTAACATAGGTATCATAAACACAGACTTTGACATCATCAGATAAAATCTGCGTTCAAATCTTGGTATCACTATTTACTAGTGGTACAAGTTGGTCATGTAAAATGTGGAGTATAACATTACCTACCTATTATGGGTGCTGTGAGAACTAAATAACATATGCAAAGCACTTAAAATAACGTTTAACATATGTCTGCACTCAATCAGAATAGCTGTTGCTGTCACTGTTGTTATTATATATAAAGCCTAAATGTCCTCTTTTAAGTACTTAGGTATTTCTGCCAAAGAACTATTCAAGGATTTTCTTGTATACCTGCAAAACAAAAATGTTTCCCAAAAATGGGTATTTAGCAAAATAATTCAGTGACTGAGATACTTTAACCAACTTACCTATACTGTCCAGTACGAAGAAAACAAAGAGCTCGGTTACCATAAAGAAGGTGGTTGTCAGGTCTTAAAGAGACACAATGTTTAGTCAGTAAAGCACATTACACATGAAACAAATAAAAATCACAAAGAAATCATAAGGCATGAGAAAACTTTTTTAAACTTTTACATCTGTGTGGCAAAGCAAAAAGAATAGAGGACCTAGAGGCTTAACTGGCTAAGTCCCAGTTCCTTCACTTCCTACCTAAGTAACTTTGTTTGAACCAACCTAAACTTCCCTATATTCAAAATGAAGATAACTCTAGTTGCTCTAACTCACAGGGCTGTTGTGAGGATCAAACGAGACATATTAAAGAGCCAGTAAACGGCAGAGTAACTCTAGAGGATGGCATTACTTATGTAAGAAGTCAGGACTATGTTGTTTTGACAAAGAACTGAGAAAGGAAGTCTACCTGCAAATTAAAATAGCTTCATTTGAACTTTTGTTTTTTAGTTTTATCTAACTATGTGTGGTGAAATGTATCTCCCTTTCCTCCACTTCTTCCTCAAAAGAATAGGGCAGCAGCCTTTCAAGGTGGCACACTAACTGGATTCCCTCATTCCCTGTGGAGGTGGGCAAGGGAGGAGACAATAGTGACTAGATAGCACCCTCCAAAGGCTGGTACAATATTAGGTGGCCAGCTGAGACAATAGGGGCAGAGTTATGAGGCACATCGGAGGAAAGCTACAAAATTATAGCAGCTGAGTAAAGAGAAGACAAGGAAGAGAGTACGTATACATCTCTCAATTATCCTGTAAAAGTTCCCTCTTAGCAAAAAACGCTGAATGGGTGGCATCTTAAGTATTAGAACCCTTTTTGACCGGTTAATAATTTGGGAGGACTTGGTTAATGGCAAAACAAGAACAAGACAAAAGAAATAACTCTGTACTGGAAAGTTTTAAAGAAAATGGAAGAGGGCAGAACCAAATTCACAATTTTGCCTGACTTGCTTGAATGATGCTACTAGATTAGGTTCATATACCCAAGCCATCTCCAATGCTTCTAATGTCCAAAGATGACAAAATTTATTCTGCATAACAAGTTGGAAGATATTCTGTAATTCTTCATCTCGTTTTTATTTCTTCTGACTACCATTCTAACTTGGTCTGCCACAGAAACAGTATCTCTTTGTTCTATTTTGCTCTTACCTATATTCAATGGCTCTGGTGTAATAGATAATAGCTATATCAAATCTTTCTTTGGAAAACTCTTCATTTCCTTTCATTTTCATTAGTTCTCCTTGCTGAGAAACCAAGGTGAAAGAAGACCCATCAATTAGCTCCAAAGACAATCAAGAACCCAATACCTAGGAAAAATGGATCCGGGTTTCTATCTTGGATATAAGAAATAACCTAGCGGATAATTTATGTAGAAAATGAGATTATAATACCCAATATTTTGTTATATATATATATATATACACATATGTATATATACATATATATACACATATATATACATACATATATATATGTACACACACACACACACACACACACACACACACACACACACACATATATGTATGTACCTAATGTACCTATTTTTTAGAGACAGGGTCTCACTGTGTCACACAGGTTGGAGGGCAATGGCACAATCACAGCTCACTGCAGCCTCTAACTCCCAGGCCCAAGGGATCATCCCATCTCAGTCTCCCAATAGCTAGGACTGCAAGTGCACCCCACCATGCCGAACTAATTTTTAAAAATTTTTTGTGGAAATGAGGTCTTGCTATATTGCCCAAGCTGGTCTTGAACTTCTGACCTCAGGTAATCTTCCCACCTTGGCCTCCCAAAGTGCTGGGATGACAGGCGTGAGTCACCATGCACAGCCCTGATATATATATTTAAATAAACCTGTCTCAAATGATTCAACAATAACTTCGTTAAAGAATATTAAAAACTGGCCGGGCGCGGTGGCTCAAGCCTGTAATCCCAGCACTTTGGGAGGCCGAGGCGGGTGGATCACGAGGTCAAGAGATCGAGACCATCCTGGTCAACATGGTGAAACCCCGTCTCTACTAAAAATACAAAAAAAAAATCAGCTGGGCATGGTGGCGTGTGCCTGTAATCCCAGCTACTCAGGAGGCTGAGGCAGGAGAATTGCCTGAACCCAGGAGGCGGAGGTTGCGGTGAGCCGAGATCGTGCCATTGCACTCCAGCCCGGGTAACAAGAGCGAAACTCCGTCCCAAAAAAAAAAAAAAAAAAAAAAAAGAATATTAAAAACTAAACAAAACAATCACATTATGAATAATTACTCATATTTTTGTGCAGTATTTTGTAGACCCACTTTTAAATATACCTTATCAATAAGGTAATAAAACTAAAAAATAGATGCAAAGTAGAATTTTAACTTAAGGTTAGCAAATGTGGTATTATTCAAGACAACTTAACGCCTAAAAACATATATAAATCAATACTATAGAGCCAACACTGATTAGATTAAGTGTAAGACATGAGGAGACACGTTAACAAGTATATATATGAAAGGTGCTACAGACATAACTAAAACTTCACTCAATTTCTTTTTAATAAATAAACTAAAATAAGCCACATCGTATCAATGGCATTAGGGAATTCAATAGAACAGTATATATGTCCCCAAATTCCTTTTCTAAAATTGAGTTAAAATCGTATTTCCTTGAGTGACCAGCGTAGCACGTGAATTACATCTCAGCTGTTACCAAGGAAAACCATATTTCTTCAACTCGTTAAAGACTTTAGTTTTTAAAAATCAAATTTTTACTTTCAATGAGTGGTTTTTTAATTATTTGAAAATTCTGATCAGGATATTAGTTCTTCATCTTCAAAAATAAATTCCAAATCAGAACCTATTAAAATTTCCCCCTCAATGTAACAAACCTGCACCATATGTACGTGTACCCCAGAACTTAAAGTAGAATAAATAAATTAAAAAACAAAATAAAATAAACAGGGAACTGGTGAAATCCTTACAATAGAAATATAAATAAAATTTTGGTCCTGGAAAAAAAAAAATTTCCCCCTCAAACATGTCATCCAATTTTATGAATTGTAGGTTGTCAGCAGTTTTATTAGGTTCCTCTGAGTATTAAAAGGTCTAATGGGCAAAGCTTAAAATGTATTTACAATATTCATTCTCACCTCTATACAATCCATACAACTTTGGGTTTTAAGTTCTTCAAGCAAATTGCAGTCTTCTACTACAATTTTAATTATGTGGTACTTGTCTAAGTTTTATTTTTAGGAAAGAGCAAGAGAGAACATTTGTTAAAAAAAAACTGGTATTGATAATATTAGAATTCTTAAGTTACATGAGTTCATAAAAGTCCTATATTATTTTTCTTTCTAAATAGCACGTTTCTTGTAACCTCTTATGTGTATTAAATAACACAGTAAAAAAAAAAAGCTAATAAAATGTTGCAGCAAACATCAGAGTTATTTCTTGCTGTAAATCTAATCTGTTTTTACTTCTAGCAATAAAAACCCTTGTTTATTATTATATTAGTTGCAATTGTATTTACAATAAATGCTCTGTCATAAGATATTCCAAATAGGCCACATAATTACTTAAGTCAATTCAATAAACATTGTCAAGTATGTATGGTGTACCATGCACAATATTCAATAAAAATGAATGAAAACAAAAACCTGGAAAACTACTTTCCACAATATATTTCATATACACAGGTTGAGTATCTCTTACTCAAAATGCTTGGGATCAGAAGTGTTTTGGATTTTGGAATACTTGGATTATACTGGGTGAGCATCCCAAATCTAAAATCTCAAAATGTTCCAATGAGTATTTCCTTTGAGTGTCATAGTGGAGCTCAAAAAGCTTCAAATTTTTGGAGCATTTCAGGTTTTGGAATTTTGATGCTCAATCTATTTTAAATAAATAATTTCAAATGTCTTTATTCAGTATTTTGATTCTCACGAGTAAATATTACAATAAGAAGTTATTTGAAACACTATTCTTATAAAAATTTAATAAACTAAGATGCAGTAAGTAACCAAAGTTTATCAGGACTCATTTTCTATATTGTAAGCCATTATATAAAAAGAATGTCTTAAAGTGGAAAAAAAAAATTACTGCAACAAAACTATAGTTAAGTCTCTAGCCAAACATATTCATTTCTAAAGTGACAGAAGCACCTACAATTTAAGATTTAATAAAGGACCTAGGAAAGTCACCAAATAAAGAAATTCAAAGGGACAGAGTAAGATTACAAGGAGGAAAACCTGGGCTTTGAGATCAGAAAGATCTGACTTATTTAGTCTTATCTAGTACTTACTAGACTGCAGAAGTAACACTTAACCTCTCAAAGTCAGTGTGCTCATTGCTAAAATAAAGACAATAGCAGCCACCTTGCAGAGCTATTTTAAAAAAAAAAGGCACGTAAAAAATCAGCTGTAAGCCTAAAGAAGTATGCCAAATACAAGATACTGCTTCTCTACTTCCACCATGAAAGCTAGCTTAAAATTAAGGGCCTCTAAAACAATGAAGAGAACAATCTCTATCAGTATAACAAACCCCCATCTAATAAACCCATGAGAAAGATGTGTCTTCATTTAATTCCTTTTTAGCACTTAAGTCAATAGTGCAAAATTTGCCTTTATCTCAGCAGAGATGGCAAATCATTGGTCATCATCTACTTAAAAGCCAAACTGGTCAGGCGCAGTGGCTCACACCTATAATCCTAGAACTTTGGGAGGCCAAGTCGGGCGGATCACCTGAGGTTAGGAGTTTGAAACCTGCCTGGCCAACATGGAGAAACCCCGTCTCTACTAAAAATACAAAATTAGCTGGCCGTGGTGGTGTGTGCCTGCAATCCCAGCTACTCAGGAGCTAAGGGAGGAGAATCGCTTGAACCCGGGAGGCGGAGGCTGTGGTGAGCCCAGATCTCGACATTGTACTCCAGCCTGGGCAACAAGAGTGAAACTCCAACTCCAAAAAAAAAGAAAAAAAAAAGCAAAACCTTTCCTGTTTCAAGATTTCTATAACTGTACTATAAAAATACTGCCAATTAATATTCAAATGCTTTAAAGAAAAATATTTCACAAAGTAAAAGAAACATGTAAGGCCATCATACATAAAATCACAACAGATTCATGAGGAAAATCATAAGGTTAGCTTCTGTGACTTTTTCTTACAAAGGAGAATACATGAGCCCCAGTTGTGGTCTCTTTAAGTATTATATATAATAACTTATGATACCCATTTGGTGAAATGTTTTAAGTACAATGTCATAAAAATCATTAAGACAGAAAATATAGAATAAAACCACCAGGTTGAAATTCTCTTTTTCAGGAATATATACCAAAAGAAAAAAAATTTTTTTATTCTAAATCAGAAATCACATAACTACACATCTCATTTTCCCAAATACCTTTAAAACTGAGTCAAGTAACAATTTAAAGCATTTATACTTACATTCAGTAAAGAAAATACTTAACATAGGCCAACAATTGTCAATTGATCCTAATTTAGTTAGAATTGTTACATCTCCTGCATATTTTATCCAATTCAGAGCTTCTTCCATTACTAAGATTTTCTGTTTCAAAAGAGGAATGAAGAATGGGGATTTGGGTATTAATTTTAAATCTGCATGTGGCATTATATATTCATCTTATACAAGTATTTCAGATCCTTAATACAAAACTGATACAACACCTTATTGTTTGCTACTCCAGCATGTAACCTAGAGTAGACAGACTCTGACATGTTCAGATACCATGGATTCATATATATTACCTCTTCAGGTGACCTTAGACCACCTTCAGAGCTCAAGATGCTTCTGTAATTGATTACAGGTCTGGAATTTGAGGTCTATAACCTGGCCAGAGACTGTCTGGGGTAGCAGGCGAGTGCAATATAACAAGGTGTATAAGGGTTCCCAGAAGTCAACTACCTTAGACTTCCATCCTTACACCAAGGTTAGATGTATAAATTAAAGTTCACCAAAGGAACTACATATTTTACATCATCTGTGGCAAACAGAAGAAGGAGGAGACAAAGAAGAGGAAGAAGCTGTGGCTGGGCAAATGGGCACTCAGTGTAGTGATCTCCATGAAGGATGAAGTCGTCACAGAAATGTTATTTGTACTTCTACTGTATGAAGTAACTTCAAAACTTAAATAGTTAACAATGTTGGTATCAGGCTTAAGGGAAACATAGACGTTTATGGCATCAGTATCATTAAAAATTGGTTTATCATTGAATCTGGAGATTACCTAGTAATTATATATCAAAAAATAATCATACCAGAGGCCTAATAATTTCATTTGGGGAAACATAAGCCAGGTAAATAATCTAAAAGAGAAAAAAGAATCAACTTGTAAAATAGGCTCAAAATTATACTATGTACATGGGTTAAAAAAAAAAAAATGAAAATGATCCAAACCCCCAAAATAAGGAGACTGCTTAAGGAAAATATACAAGTCAATACTACCAAACACCACATATAGAACATTGAGTGTGTGGACTCCATATAAGGGGAAATGAGCAGTGAGATGACTGCCACTCACTCACAGTGGGTGTGCCAGGTTCTGTGTTTATCACTTACATTTTCTATTTTATAACCAATTCTCAATAAGCCTCCAATAAGGAATGAATCATTCTGAAAAATAAAAAAAAAAGAACAGGACATATTTTTTTCCTTATTCAGTCAATTCTGCTTGAATTTTCTAATGGAAAAATGGCCTACGTTTTGGGAATACTGCCATATGTACACAATACTATACTTCACACAAAAATTTACATGACCAAGTTACCCCTTAAGACCTTAAAACAAGAATTCCAAAATAGTCTCTCAAAGGGTTCTAGTGGTAAAATAACTTAGTATAATCTTTAGACATGTGAATTTTTTTTTTTTTTTTTTTGAGACAGGGTCTCACTAGGTCGTCCAGGCTGGAGTGCAGTGGCATGATCTCGGCTCACCGCAACCTCCGCCTCTCAGGCTCAAGCGATTCTCCTGCCTTAGCCTCCCAAGTAGCTGGGATTACAGGTACGTGACACTACGGCCCAGCTAATTTTTCTATTTTTAGTAGAGATAGGGTTTCAACATGTTGGCCAGGCTGGTCTCGAACTCCTGATCTCAAATGATCCACCTGCCTCAGCCTCCCAAAGTGCTGGGATTACAGGCATGAGCCACTGTGACCAGCCAACATGAATTTTCAAAGTTCATTGCACTAGGCCAGGTGCATTGGCTCACACCTGTAATCCCAACACCCAAGGCAGGTGGATTACCTGAACTCAGGAGATCGAGACCAGGCTGACCAACATGGTGAAACTCCGTCTCTACTAAAAGTACAAAAATTAGCTAGGCATAGTGGTGGGCGCCTAGAGTCCCAGCTACTCGGGAGGCTGAGGCAGGAGAATCACTTGAATCTGGGAGGCAGCGATTGCAGTAAGCCGAGATCTCGCCACTGTATTCCAACATAGGCAAAAGAGGAAGACTCCATCTCAAATAATAAAAAGCACATTGCACTTAAGTTTTTTAATAAAGGTACGCTGGCTTGTATGTTACTGCAAAGAACTACTGCAGAAAATAAACATCAGAATGCTCTTTCTAAATATAATAGTACCAAGAACAGCACTTGGCTCCATAACGAAGTGAAATTTAAAAAGCTATCAAATAGTTGTCAAAAAAAAATTTTAAGCCACAAAAAAACTCTCAACATAGTACAAGGAAGGACACCTCCTAAAATATGCCCTGACAAAGTCTACCCCTACCCAAAGACAAAATATTTGTTGATGGTGATGTGATTTTATATCAACAGATAGAGCACATCACTTTCAGAACCCGTGGCAGAGGTTTCTATGAACCCATGCCCCACTTTCTGTAACAAGTTTCCATTTCTGTCCTTTAATAAGATGCAGTCCTGGTCCCCAATATAGAACCATGACAGCAGCCATCTCCCTGATCTCTCAAATACTAAGCATCCACTGATGGATAGCAGGTTCATCTTATGTTAACCACTTCATTACCTGTTAACTGCTATAAATTAGTCATATGAGCCTAATACCATATAAATGCTTATATTATTTAAATCAAGGGCTGAGGGGGAACCTACATTCTACCACTTACAGCAACTTTCTTTGCCAAATCCACAATATCTTCCATCAACTCAAGATGTTGTAATTTCTTCAAATTTATCTCAGAAGCACGTGAATTGCTTAAAGACAAATTTATGTTTTAAAAGATTAGATTCTCATATATAGAAATACATTGAACTTTGTGCTTAACTATATATCTCAAACCATTAAAAAAAAATAAGTTCTTTTGCTTCGCTCTAGGTAACAATAACTAAACTATTTATTAAATGAACAAAATATTGTATCGTTTTCTTCTCTTCTGTCCTATAACACTGATATTTATAAACAAGCATGTTAATTCTTCTTCTCAACTCAGCTTCAAGTCTACCATCTAATACTATTCAGAATTTCACTGATTATTTTACCATTATTCATTCATATCCAAATCTCAAGTATTTGCTTTTTCCACCTTATTAAACAAAAATTGAGCAGCATACAAGAGTAACACATAAGCCTACTACTGAACTTGCATTCCTCGGTATTGGGCAATATGCTTCTATCACTGGCCATACAAAATGAGTAACATATAGTAACTTACTTGGCGTCCACACAGGGATGCAATCGTGATATTACAGAACTGTTTTGATGTTGAAACAGAAGTGGCCAGAAGATATTTATTTTGATGGCATCACAATAATCTCGTAGGACAGAAACTGGTTTACTACACCATATATTGCAGATGTCAAATTCTCAATTTAAAAAAAAAGTTTAAAATTAATGTTTGAGCCTCATTTTGGAATGAATCATCATTGTTAATAGCAAAAAAGGAAAAGTGTATATGGAGAGCCAATAAATGAATGAAGTAGCCTGTTAAATGTTAAGAATATTTAAGTGTTAGCTAAAAGTCTATTTTAACAAAGAAAAGTTCTGATTTCATATAAATCTGTTGTGTTGCTATGACAGGATGGATGGACCTCCCTTTATCCCATAATCTATCCCATAAATTAACATTAAAAAACCATGTACTCACCTAAATTTCTCTCACTTTGAGCATAATCTTTATATTGCATACCCTAAAAATAAGAAAATTCTTTTGATTTGTATCTAGTAAAATGTAAAAGTATAGTTACTGATTTTTAATCTAGGGATTATCAAAACTAACCAAAGAACTTTCAGTGCACATTCAGTGACGATGTGTATGCTTCAAACACATCTTCAGCCAATGAGTATTAATTTGAGACCCTTTTCACAGTATTTCCTGAGTTTGCTTCTATGGCTCTCCCCAAGAGCTTTTCCAATCCCGTGAGAAAACTGCCTTTTGCCACCACTCGTTCTCTGGCATTCCACAATCTTACTTTTGACCCGCTGCTTACTTTCCCTTCTCAAATCACCTTTTCAAAAACGTGTGTTCCTTCTTCCCTGTCAAAACCCACGTAGCACAAAAACATCTTTACTCAGCTAGCCCTAAACCAGAAAACCTTCAACACACAATGTCAAAAACAAAAAATTAGCAAACCTACTTACCACCCCATCACAGTAAAGCTGAGTCACACGAACATAATCATCGGTCATAAATTCAGCCGCAAACACACAATCATCCACGTCCACGTAAGGGCAATCTTCTAACAAGGCACAATCCGCCACAGTGAAATCTCCCTCGGCAAAATTGTTCATGATGCACAAGTCTAAAGAGACAACACAAACTCAAGTCAGTAATTAAATCATTTGAGATGACAGAAGAAACAGTTTTCCTGGCTTCTATGGTATATTAGAAAAATACTTGGAACCTAATGCCCCCAAAAAAACATTCCAATCAAAACACTGAGCTCTGAAAGATTCCTGTCCCCATTCTGCCGTTCTTCTCCCCTGACTCTCTCCAGATTATTTAATCTATTTCTTCCTTTCCTCAGGTTCATGTATTCACCATCTCTATTCTAAGTTAATCCCTTCACATGTCTCCTTTAAATGGAGGATTATTAAGGGCATCTGATGTATCTTTGTATGTGCCTAGCACATGGTAAGCTCTCAAGTAAGTGTTTGCTGAATTTAAAAAAGACATCTTCCCATTGCTGCACTTGTACCCTACCTGCTTTTACTGCATTCTATGAAATATGCCATTTCACCAACACAAACTGCTATATTCTCAACCTCCTGGCCTGACCTAAATCCTGACTCCACTGAGAACTGTTTCCTATCAACTGCTCATATTCTCCTATCAATCTCTCAGTGTGTTTCTATCCCAGGCAAAGGAGTAGGGCTTGAGTGATACAGGTAAGTCTGCCAATCTCCTAACTCCCCAAGGCGGCATCCAGACCTTCCATCCTCCTATTGACTGCTGCTTCTAATGCTCTCACAACTACTGCAATACACAATTGACACTGCTAACTCGCAAAAAAAGGAAAAAACCTTGCATTATCAAAAGCCATGTTTTAAAAATACTTATTTCAATGGGAGGGAAGGGGGTTTAGTGCTAAAGTTTCAGGGGTTTTTTTTTCCTGAAGAAAGTTCAATAATGAGGATTTGTATAGTTATCAGAGAATAGCTACATAGCCTAAACATCACTGAAAAATGCACCATTTTATTACGTCTAGCTCTTGCCCACATAATGGCTTTCTTTTCCTATCACCACCAGCACATCATTAACACTGTTCCTTATACCTCTCACTTCACCATTATTATCCCACTATTATTAGGATAAACCAAGTTTCTTCTTTCCAAAGCAAGACCACCACCAGTCCCTGAAATACAAATCTATTCAATTGCTCAATCCATCTCCTGATGTCCAAGTTGCCGTATGAAAACCTCACAGTATCACAAGTGAAGAACAGTAACAATCTTCCTAGCAAACTATTTGTACCACGTGCCACATACTGTACCAGATGTTTTACATGCATTTCACTATTCCTCACAGCAATTCTTCTTGGCAGACACAATTATCATCATCTCAACTGTACAGATGGGAAAATGCTCAGTAAAATTAAGTAATTTGTTCAGGTCACCAAGCAAGGAAGGATTCCAATCCAGTCTTTAGTTGCCATAGTTTCTACTCTCAAACACTCTCTTTCACTACATCCACTTTTCCTGTTATTGCCACCTACTTTCTTTTGGTTACTGTCACCTTTCAAGATCAATGGCAACTAGTTCAGTGTTTTTCTCTTTCCTCCAAATTCTATTATCATCCCAGCCACATCAAGGTCCATGCACACAATACCCCAGCCTTGTAGTTTAACAACCTCCTCAACTAACATGAACTTCACTGCCCACCTCACTAGGCTCTCCCACCCCAGGGCAACACCTCAGGTCACTACCTAGGTCAAACCAGTTTTTAAATCTTTTATACTCTTATTAGCTCCTCTCTGACCATAGCCAAGAGTCATTACGCTCATGTCTTCCTGATTTCCTACCACAGTCATTCTTCAACTTCATCAAGAACTCTTCATTTTTCACTCATCTGAATCCTCCATTCTCATTCACTTTCAGTTTCCTATGATTTGGTTTCCAATTCTACCATTCAAGGGAAACTACTTTCATTAAGATCATTAATGACCTTCCACAAAACTGGTTATCTATAATGTCTAGAACCTGACCTATTCTGCATAAATATTTCGAGTTTAAAAAATTTAACTCCAAAAGTGAACAATGAACAGAAAAAAGACACTGGAGCACCCAAACTATAGCACATAATATGAGGTATGTGCTAAACTTACTTGTCTCACAAACTATTTTGGCATAAAATACAGAAAGAGCCAAGAACTGTCACAGCCCACGCATCATGGCGTCAATTACAATACAATTAATGCGCTCAAACCTGGCAGACTGACACTGGTCATTCAAGCCTGGCAAATCTCACTGATACCACACACAGCACCAATTGTACTGTAATTACGGCATTGGGGTAATTTTTATTTTCTATTTTGTTTTTAACTAGAGAGGCAATGTGACAAAGTGGTTAAGAACATGGACTCTGTAGCCAAGACTCTCGGCTTGAATCCTGGCTCTCTTGTTTCCTTGCGTGTGCAATCTTGGATAAGTTACTTAACCTCTCTGTGCTTCCTCTGTGTTTATCAAATGGGGATAACAATACTACCTACCTGAATAATCAGTTAACACATGTGAAGTGCTTAGAAGAGTACCAGGTATATGAGAAATGCTATAAATACCAGCTTTCTTTAACCTTAATGTTAGATGAGTATTTTTTAAATCCACTGTTTGGATGCTTCCAGCTAAATAGTCTACCTTAATTGCTAAATCCAAAGAGCACTTTTCAGCTTACAACTTACTTGACGCTGTGGACCACTTCCTCCTCAGAACTCTTCATTTGGACTCCAAAGACCATCTTCTCTGGTTCTCCTCCTATTCGTCTGGCTGCTCTTCCTCAGTTTCCTTCATGGGCTCTTCTTCTCCATTCCCCGCCACCCAATGTCAACTCTCTTTTCTTCTCACTCTTACTCTCTCCTTGGGTAAATTTATCCACCACACCCATGGCTTAACACAGCACTTTCTGAACTTTCATCGTTTATATAGCTTCACCATGATGTTTGCCATTTCCATGTATCACATATATTTTTAGTTTATATTTCCCTTTTATTGAGCTCATTTGGCCTAAGTGATGATGTCAATGATTATCAAAGGTTAGATGTGCAAATTATGTTTCTCATAAACATTAAATTCCTATCTACTAAAATTTTTTCAAGTGTTTATCTATGTACCAGTTTAAATTCTCTCAAATGCACTGCAGTAAACAATGGCTTCCAAACTTTCAAATGATGAAGGCTCCCAAATCTTTCCAGGCAGGGTTGTATCACTTGACTTCCAGACCCTCCCTGTCAATCCCTGTCAACTACTGCAGGATCTTAACCAAGATGTCCCACAAGCCCCTCAGAATCAGTAAGTTCAAAAACAAGCATCTTTTTCCTCAAAAACAAACAAATGAAACCAAGTTCTTTCCTCTTTCTGTATCCTGTTTATCATAATTGTTCTACATGCCATTTTACTACCCAAACCTAAACCCTGGGAGTCAACCTAGACTCCCCAGTTTCCTTCAACATTTCTGTCCAAATGACCACTAACTCTTGTCATTTCTGCTTCCCTAAGAAATGTTAAATTAGCACACATATACTTCTTCATGCCCAGTACGACTGCCTTCATCGTTTCTCCTCTGAACCAATTTAACAAGAAGTCTCCTCTGGTCAAACTTGCCTTCAATCTCGGCACCCTCTAAAACTCTGATCATACCACTTTACTGCTTAAAACCATGCAACAGCTTCCCTTCACTTTGAGAATAAAGTCCAACTTCCCTAATAAAAGCATACAAGACCTTTTGTGATGTTGCTCCCGCTTTTATCCCCAGTCACTCCATGACACACAACCTAGAAGCCAGTCATACCCAACTGCTTGTCCTTCCTAAACAAAAGTTATTCTGCAACCACCTAATGCCTATCAGTCCCTAATACCCAATTCCAGGAAAGATTTCCTGATCTTCTCACTACCATCAAGTTTATTTTTGCACCTCTTCTCTGTAAACAAGAGCACCTTGCCCATGTCTGTGATAGCAGTTTTCACCCTGTTTGATCATCACAGGTTTATCTCTGCAGTGTCACTTTGGATCCAGAGGATATATTGTGTAATCTACTTGTCATCTGTACTGCTATTCACTTAACAGTTTTCTTTAGGATAACTCAAATTTTAACTTAGATGTAAACTAGTTGTAATAGAAATGTTGATATCACCAAGAATCCTTGTTTGGTACCATAAAATTTTTTCTAATACAAATAAAAATAAATATACTACTAAAATATTAAAATAAAGAACTTCTGATCTCATCAGTTATGGTGAACTAGACACTCTGGGGGAATGTACTATTGGGAGAAAAAGGTAGATCCTAGATTTTTAAAAAATACTTTTTGGATGTTTTTGCTGAGATCATAGAAACGGGAAAATTTGAAGCCACACTCTCCACGCAAAAGCAACAAACCTTGAGCTAGAAATTAAACGTGGCTACAGTTTAGAGCCATAAATAGTGGTGCCAAGAGCAGTAGTAGGATCAAGACACAGAGCACTGGGCCAGAAACAAAATATAGGAACTGAAAAGTGATCCCAGTTAAACTTCCTGGCTCCCAGACAAATTTGATAAAAATGCTTTCAGAAAGAAAGCATTCCCAATTTAGACTCTCAAGATTCCCACAAAGATCAATTAAACAGAAGTTCATAATCAATGATCACCAAACGCAGGAGGTGACTGTTACATTGAGGGAGAGACAACAACAACAACAACAAAATAGTAATAAATTTAGACATCCCTCTTCCAAAGGATATCAGACATTAGGAATGCCTGATATAGTCCACAGAATACCTATAGAGTCATAAAAATCACCAAATAACATGAGAAGACAAAGAATGACTGGGTATATCAAAAGAGAACCAAGCAGAACTTTTAGAAATTAAAAACGCAATTGTTAAAAGAAAAAAAAAAAGATGGGATGGGTTACAGAGGATATTAGGCACAGTTCAAGAGAAAATTGGTGAACTAAAATATATGCCTTATGAAATTACTCAGCACTGTAAATTCTGGTAAACAGAAACAGATAAAAAAATATGAAAGATAAAGAATAAGTGATCTGGCAACAGTTTAGTACATATATATATATATACATATATATACACACATATATATATATACACATACACACACAGTTAAAGTTCCAGCAGCAGAGAAGAGATTAATGAGACATAAAATGTAAAGAATACAGGGCTCAGAAACTTCTAGATCTCATGGAAGGCAAAATGCAGAATCATGAAACACATGCATCCAAAATAGGATAAATATAATCCCTATCAAGACTTAGAAGTGAAATGATGTAACACCAAAGTCAGAAAATCCAATGTAACTAAAAGAAAAAAGATATTTTCTTCAAAAAAGCATAAAACTGGCAGCGCACTTTGTATAAGCAATAGAATAGTATCTCTATCCTGACAGAAAACAAACACCAACCTACAACTATACATCCATCAAAATGATCTGTTAAGAACGAATGTAAAATAAAAATACTTTAAGACTTGTTTTTAACATCTAAAACTGAATCAACCAACAACCAAGACACTTGGAACCTACCAATTACAAGACGGAGATTGGCTGGTGTGATTAAAAGAAAAATCCAGTAATATGTTCCTTATAAGAGACACTTAAAATGTAAGGACACTTGAAAAATCAAAGTAAAATGAAGGAAAAGAATATTCCAGGAGAAATAACACCAAAAGAAAGATGGAATCAGACAAAAGACCTCTAAAACAAAGAAGCAAACTTAGAGATAGAGAAAATCACAATATAGTAAAAGTTCGACCCACTAGGAAAGTAATGTTAAGCTTGCATGTAGCTAATAAGAGTCTCAAAATACAGAAGAACAAAAATTGTTATAACTAACTACAGGAAATCTGTTAGAAAGTAGTAATGGTAGGATATTGCAACACACTTCTCTCAGTTAATGACAAGATAAACCAAAATTAATAAGAATAGAGACTGTCAAAACAACACAATTAACAGAATATATACTCTTCACAAGTATACACAGAACAATTCTAATAATTCACTACGTACAAGGCTATAAAGCAAGAGCAAAAAAGGATGTTAAAAAGATTAAAATATTTTCTGGCAAACACAATTAAAAATCAATAATTAAAAGAAAATAATATAGACACATTTGAAAATTTTTAAAAGTTTAAGTAACTCATAAATCAAAGAAAAAATCAAAATAGAAATTTAAAAATACTTAGATTTTAAAGTTAACAAAAACGCTATAAATTAAACTATGTTAGATAAAGCAAAAATGAACTTTGAGAAAGTTTATTTCCTAGTGTAAGCCTTACCTGCTTACACTAGGAAATAAGAATGCTGAAAATTAATGTTAAGCATGTAATTTAAGTGAGAAAAATAGTAAAATGATAAACTGAAAGAAAGTAAAAGGAAATAAAAGAGAAAAATTGATAAACTGAAAGAAAGTAAAAGGAAATAAAAGAGAAAAAAGATCAATGTGATAAAAAACAAATAATAGGTCAAATTAGGCCAAAAGTTAATCCTCTGCCAAGATTTAAAAAATGGACAAACTTTTAGCAAGACTGATCAAGTAAGAGAAGTTTGACATAAATAATATTCAAAATGAGAAAAGGGAACACATACACAGAAAATAGAGATTAAAAAGAGAATTAATACCATACCATGAGCCGTGGCTCACGCCTGAAATCCTAGAACTTCGGGAGGCCAAGGTGGGCAGACCACTTAAGGTTAGGAGTTTGCAAGCAGCATGGCCAACATGGTGAAACTCCATCTCTACTAAAAATACAAAAAAATTAGCCGGACATGGTGGCCCATGCCTGTAATCCTAGCTACTCAGGAGGCTGAGGCAAAAGAATCGCTTGAACCCAGGAGGTGGAGGTTGCAGGAGCTGAGATGACGCCATTGCACTAGTCCAGCCTGGGCAACAGAGGGAGACTCCACCTCAAAAAACAACAAAAACATACCATAAACTTGATGTGAAAAACTTAAAAATTCTGATGAAAGGACAGATTTCTAAAACTTACCAAAACTGACTAAAAGAAATACAATACCTGAACAGTCCTGTGACTATTCAACTGCTAATTACTACTAAAACTCCAAGAAGAAAATAAATGACTTTATACTTAAGTTCCACCAAGCTCTTAAAAAACAAATCACTCCAATCCAAACGTCTCCCAGGGAACAGAAGAAGAGAAACTACCCTCTAACTCATGGTATAAAGTCAGTGTAACTTTAATACCAAAGTCAGATAAGACAGCCAATAAAGAAAAATGAGCGGTGAGTCTATTCATAAACAGACATGAAAATCTAAATAAAACATGAGCAAACTCAATTCAGTAATTCATAAAAAAAAAAATCATAAAGACCAACTTGGATTTCAAGAAAGAATACAAAAGAAAACAAAGTGTTTTAAATCTATAAAATGGAATTCATTACATTTAACAGATTAAAGGAGAAAATACACAAGATATTCTCAAAAGCAAGACCTCTATGCCCACTATAATCACTTCTAATGAATAATCATAATCACTTCCATTGAACATAACCAGCTTAAAAGCAAAAATAACTAGAATTGATGACCCAGAACTGTCAGTATTTGCAAATGATATAATTATCCACATAGAAAATCCAAAGGGATTTCAGAAAAAATATTAGAAGTAGCAAGTTTATCAAGTGGATGACTAAAGGTCAATATTTTTTAAATTTCATTAAATTTCTATTTACTAACAATAAATAAGTTAAAATAAAATCTTTAAGAATATCACCATTTATAATAGCAACAAAAACAATAACATCAGAATCAACATATAAAAAGTAGGAGATCTCTATGGAGAAAACTATAAAACTATACTAAAACCTTACATAAATAGAGATACATACCATATTCTTAGATAAAAACGATCAAAATCTTAAAGATTTATATTCTCCCTCAAACTGATTCAATTAATTGTAACAAGCTGATTCTTAAGAACAAATGACCAAAAACAGGTGAGATTCAATGTCCTCCTCAGATACCAAGATTTCAAGTAAAACTACAATATTAATAATTAAGACAGTGTGGTATGAATACAGAGACAGACAAGGTGACAAGTGACATAGAAAGGCAAGCCAGAAACAGACCCATGCAGGTAGTAACTAAACATGTAAAAGAGATAGCATAGCAGATCAGTGGTGAACAGAGGCCAATGTACTACATGGTATTGAACCACACAGGAGAAAAAAAATGAATGTGGATCACTATCTCACAAACTACACAAAAACCAATTCCAGATGAAGTATGAACTTACATGTGAAAGATATCATTTTAAAACTTCTAAAAAGAAACAGAGGAATGTCTTTATAAGTCCAGGGCAAGAAAGGTTCCAGTTAGATTATGATAAAATTAAGAACTTCTGTTCACCAAATACACCATGAAGAATGAAAAGACAGGCCACAAACCAGAAGATATTTACAATGCACAGAATCAATGCTACCAGTTTAACAATTTTAAAAGACAACCCATCAAAACAAAGAGTAAAAATATGACTAGGTATTTCATAAAAAGGAAACAAAGATGGTTCTATAAACATACAAAAGATGCTCGATCTCATTAATAACAAAAAATTCAAATTAAAACCACAACGACACATCATTTCACACCCATTCCATTGGTAAATATTAAGTCTGACAATAACAAGTGTTGCAGAGGTTGTAGAGCAACTGTAACTCTTACACACTGTTGATCGAAGTATATAAACAGACAAAAGTGCTGGCCAAAGTACAAACTGTTACAACCACTTCAGAAAGCAATCTGACATTATTTTGTAAAGCTGGTCATTCATACTCCTGACCTAGCAATCCCACTGTTAGCAAATAGCTTACCATGGTAATATGGCAGTACTTCTTTCCTCTTTTTTTTTCCCCCTGCTGAACAAATTACCATGGTGGTATTTCAACACTTTTTTTTTTTTTTGGCTCACAAACCACCAAAAGTGCTTTTTAAAATTACATACCCTTTACCTATTAAGATGAAATCCAAAAACTATCACCATAAGTTTAAATAATTGCAAAGAGTGAACTTCTAGAATATCACAGTAACATTTTAAAGTTATGTGATATTCATGTCATGTAACAAGCTGATTCTTGTTATCTCATTATTTTAAATGTATATTCTACATTATTTTAAATGTCTATTGTAATTATTACTAGCATATGGTTGGTCAAAAAATATACCCTGATAACATAAAAAATGAAACTTTATTGGAAATGTAACTCTTGAGTAAACAGATGGGGAAGTGCCCGGATTAAAAGAGGCTTTCCCTAACACCATAGCAGTATTTTAAATTATCCCTTGGTAGGCTGGGCACAGTGGCTCACATCTGTAATCCCAGCACTTTGGGAGCTGAGGTGGGTGGATCACCCGAGGTCAGGAGTTCAAGACCAGCCTGGGCAACAAGGTGAAATCCCATCTCTACTAAAATACAAAAAACTAGCCAGGCGTGGTAGTGAGCCCCCGGAATCCCAGCTACTCAGGAGGCTGAGGCAGGAGAATCTCGTGAACCCAGGAGGCAGGGGTTGTAGTGAGCCGAGATCACCCCACAGCACTCCAACTTGGGCAAAAAGAGGAAAACTCCACTCAAAAAAAATTATATATATGTATCCCTTTATTTTCCCACTTAGGGCAATGTCATAGTAAGACTCCACAAGGGCCTGTGGTTTGCCTTTCTTACGTAAACTGCAGTGTTAGAAACATAAGGTGAGAAAGTAGCACCAGCAGGAGGCCTCAGGCATTATCAATTTTAGGAAAGAGTATCTGTGGAATGCAGTGATCTAGAAACTGATTTATTAACATCATTTGGACCCTCATACTCTTTAGAAAATCTTCATTACTCCTCTGGGGGTCATAAATCCCAGTGTGAAAATTAGAGAAATTCTTACAACTGTGAACCAAAAAGTATGTACAAGAATCTTCATAACAGCAAAACCTAGAAACGACCAAAATGCCCATCAACAGAAGAATGCATACACTGTGTTATATTCACACACGGAATATTACACAGCAGTGAAAATTAATGACTTATATCTATACCCAATATTAGTGACTCAGAAACATAACATCAAGCGAAATAAGCAAGTCCCAGAAAACTATACCCAATATGATTCTTTTTCCACTCAAAAACAGAAACCATACAACACATTTTTGAGGGATATATACATATCTGATAAAATTATTTTTAAAAACAAGACATAATATACACAATTCAGAACAGCAGTCACCTCTGGAAGTAAACACATTCAATATTGGTCATTTTGATTCTTGGATTGAGTGGTAAATGCATAGGTGTTCATTTTATTGTTGTGCTATACAGCTTACATATGTGTTACATATATTTTGAATTTATCAAATACTACAATAAAGTGGAAAAGAAAATTTTTTTAAACATTCATCATATGAAAAAATATACTTTTAATTAAATCACCTCACCTGCCACTAAAGAGGTACATATTTAACATATCATGGAAATTCTATCTATACATCAACCATAGGAACTGATATACATTAGGTATACAAAATATTCATTGGAATTAATCTTATGAGAACCAAAAGAGATAAAGACTAAGCCAATTAGCTGTGAGAGATAAATCCATAGGCTGACACAGGGCTACAAGAGAAGCCAAAGTAGCTACAAGCAAATTTAGCAGCAAGCGAAAGTCATAAGGAAGCTGGTCAGTAAAGAGACGGCAAAAATGTAGAGTCTAATAACATAAAGTGTTAGCAGGGTTGTGAGGAAATGATGTTCTTACTCAATACCAGTGACAGTGAAAATTGGTACAACCACTTCAAGAGCTTCTGTGACATTTGGTTAAGTTGAAGATGCACATGCCCTACAGTCCAGCCAATCTACTACCGAGGTGTATTTCCTACAGAAACTTCCAAATGTGTGCACAAGCAGACAAGTACAAAGATATTTATTGCAGGACTGTTTTTAAGAGTCAAAAACTGAAACAAGTTCAAAGTCTATCAACAGGGGAATGTATAAATAAATACAATATATTCACACAATGCAATTCTATACCAGCAATTAAAATGAATGAACCAAAGATAACATAATTATTCAATTTTTTCATATACGAATCTCAAAATATGATGCTGAGCAAAAAAAAAAAAAAAAAAGCAAGTTGCACAAAGGCACGTATATTTTAATACCATTAAAGTTTAAAAACAAACAATAGTATGTATTGCGTATGGATTCACTGTGATCAAAGTATAAAATACGCAAAGGAAAGATATACACAAACCTGAACGCAGTGGCTATCTCTAGAAAAGGAGGGGGAGGAACTGAGAGCAATTTTCTTTCTTTAAAGAAAAACGAATATCTGAAGTAAATTTGGCAAAATATTAAATAATCACGTCTGTAAAATCTGAATCATGGATTGGTTAGCTCTCCCCCCCCCCGTATTTTATATTTGAAATATTCCAAAAATTAAAAGAAAACAAAGTAAAATTAGACAATAAGAAAATCGGGCAGAACAGAGAGACAACAAAACGCAGCACTTGAGCGCAGAGCACGAAAGCTTGAGCAAACACAGCAGTAGCTGGGTCCCTAATGGGTTTGAAATTTCTTACCCTAGGTATCCTTACAATAATCCCATTTTCCTTAGGATAAATTGCAAATTACCTGCAACAAAAAATGTCCTAACTAGAGTCATAGTTACAAGGAAATGGCTCCCTCTGGAGGAGTAAAATCTGTAAGATTTCTACCTTGTTTCCCTCGCCATGATATTGGGCAAAATAGAAAGAGATTTAGGTGAATACCATAAAATACTCTATGAACCATTAGGTATCATCAAGAACGCCCAAGGATGGCATAGCCCAGTAGGCATGTGCATATATTTTGAAAGGCCTGTGCAACTGAGAGGCTTTTGGCGTCCAGGACGCATCTGGAAAAGGCATGGCGCACTGGTACCAGCCCAAATTCACCATTTTTTATCTTTGATCCGCTTATTCTGTCCTCTGAACAGGCCACACTGACAGCGTCAACACTGCGGAGCAGGGGGCCAGACTCGATCTTGTCCTCCCCCTTCCCGTTAGTGTCTGCGGGGGAGGATGCTCAGAAAGAGGCGCAGGGGCGAGCGGAGCGCCGGGGTTACCCCCCCCTCCGCAACGTCGGTTCCGTGGGAACAGGCCCTGAACTGGACTGCCAGTTCCCACGAAAACAGGTGGCAACAGAGTCGTGAACACACGCACACAGAGCAAGGGGTGTGCCTGAACGTTCACGAACACGCACCAGCGAAACCTGCACACAAAAGACACGCACTCGACAGGACTAAACGCGCACACAAGAGATCACGCACTCGACAGGACCCATGCGCAGACACTCTGGGGACACGCACAGTCGCGCAAGCGAGGCTCTAGGCGGGGGTCGCGATCGCAGGAGGCGCGGCCACGCGCGCTGGGGGACGCGCAGCCCACAGACCAGAGCAGTGACACAAAGGGGGGCCACCCGCAGAGGCCGAGAGCGCCTACGCAGCCGCCAGGGAGCACGGGCACCGACACAAAGGGGGCCACAAGGCGACACGCGAGCGTGGGGCCCTGCACCCACAGGGGATGTCAGCCACGCACCGGCCGAGTCACGGGCAGGGGAGATGCGCACAAAGGGACTACTCCCACCCTCGCACTGGCATCCCAGGGCCTCGCTCGCGAAGCGGGCACCAGACCAAGGGGGAAAACTCACTGAGGCAGGCAATGGCAGCAACACCCCCTCAACTCGCGGGACCCCAGCCCACGCAAACACAGCAGGCACCGCAGCGAGGAACACGGGACGACGAGCACACATCCACACTCACCACACACTCACAGACGGGGTGTGGAAGACCCCGCTCCCCCGGCATCTTGGCTGCAGCGGGACAAGTTGACACATCCGGGAGCCCTGCCGCGCGCCGGGTGTGCACTCACCGGGGCCCGCCGCCCGCGAGCCTCGACGCGGGCCGGCGCCACCGCCGCCGCAGCCGCCGCCGCCGCCGCCACCTCCGGCCCTCCAAGTCAGCTGACGGCTGGAGAGAGCGGGCGGCGGCGCTAAATGCAGGTGCGTCACGTGGGCTAGCAGCGCGCAGGCGCAGTAGCGCCGCACCGCCCCCTCCTTCGTCGCCCCGAGCGGAACGGATCCCGCCGGCCCCCGCGCTCTCTGGCTCCCACCCGGGGAGGGTCGTCGTGCGCCTGCGCCAGGGTGGGAGCGCCGTCGCGCCTAGGCCTTTCCCTCAAGTTTTTCTCTTTCCGCCCCCACTGCGGCTACCCGGTCGGCGCCTGCGCAGAGGAGTCAGTGCTGAGGCGGCAGAGGTGTCGGGAGGGGTCTGGGTGGGCGTATGAAAGACCCGAGGTCGAGACCCCCGGTATATCCCATCTCGAAAGAGAAACAGAAGCCCCCATGAGTGGACAGGGCCCGGGGGCTGGGCGCCTCGACCCAGTAGGCCTGCGTGCTCGTGGGTGCCGCGCGAGCCTTGTTCTCCGCCCTCCCCTCCCCTCCCGCGGGGAGGCCACGCTCGCAGAGCTGGAGCGCGCGTCTGTTACCCCATTCCCCTCTCCCTGCCCTATCCCGCGCCGCCCCTTCTGCTGCGGGGCACGCGCTAGCCTGGGTGCCCGTGTGCGCGCGAGGTGGGGGCGCGGGTTGCGGGCGGGGACCGTCCCCGCGGCGAAGCGCTGTGGCGAGACTGGACCACTGGTGCGGGGGAGCACGTCGCTGACGGCTAATTGTGTTCCTTTTCCACAGATTGTCTAAAGCCCTAGGAAAAATGGTGGAAAATTCACCGTCGCCATTGCCAGAAAGAGCGATTTATGGCTTTGTTCTTTTCTTAGGCTCCCAATTTGTCTTCAGTAAGTACTTTCCCGATGGATGGCCAGGGGCTTTTTCTGGCATTCAGTGACAAGGGAAGAATGCATTGGTTAGACTATGCACACACGAACTGTTGATTCTTTCTCCCTATGTCTCTTTTTAAGAAAATCAGAAGGAAAGTCGTGTTTGTTGAGTGTTGTACGCCAGCACTAGCCTAGGAGGTTTTAGTCTACAAATATTTATACAGCACCAGACACTATGGCAGAGTGAATAAAGCCTGGTCCCTGCCCTTAAGGAGGTCGTGGTTTTGTGGAGGAGACAGACGAGTAAATCTACAGTTAATGCCCAGTGTGACGAGTGTCGGGGAGCACGGCTGAGAGATAATTGAAACCAGACTGGAAAGTCAGGGCTTTCATACCCCCGCCCCTACCCAGGCACTGATGCTGAGTAGGAGGGAGGGGAGACGTGGAAAGGCTGTGAGAGGACTTGGACATGAGGAGCTTGATACGGCTCCAGTGTGCCCAGTGGGATCTGAGGAACAAGAGGAGTAGGCCAGAAAAGTCGGGTTGAAAGGTGGATTCTTTGTGTCCTGGATCTCCCTTAATCCCCGTAACTTTCCATTTAGAGATAAGGAGACTGACGCTCAGAGACACTAATATGCCCAGTCACACAGCAAGCCCCAAGTCTCTCCCCAAAAGGATTTGGGAATTATGAGGCACGCAAGAGAGAGGAAATTGAGTGCCCCTGAGCCAACGTTCTGGAACTCTTTGGAAACCAGGAAAGTGGAAGAGTGGTAGTACTTCTGAACCCCAGCTGAACTATATCAGCCTGTACCATCAGTACAGCTTGCAGATAATGAAATGGCCAGGCTGTTAGAACTGAAGTGAAGAAGTTACAGCTGAGTTCAAATTCTGACCCCACAGGTGAGCCATGTGAGCTGGGACCCTCAGTAAACTTTTGGAGCCTCAGGTTCCTTACCTGTAAAAGGTAATGATAATGATGGTTCTTAAATGCTTATGACGCATGAAACAATCCTATGGGGTAGTTTCTGTTGTTATTGTCCCCACTTCAGAGATGAGCATACTGGGTTTCAGTAATTTGCCCTGGGTTGCAAAGCTGCCTCTAATTTTGAGCCCAAGTACACCGGCTGACTTCACTCTGCTGCCTCTTCTGACTGTTGCTAGGATTAACTGGGGTAATTTATGTAAAGGACGTAAAACAATGCCTAGAAACAGTTAAGTGCTGAAATTATGTTAGCTACTGATGTGATTGTTAGCACTTTTGTAAATCCTTGTTCAAAGAGTGTATCAAAGATTAGAAGCTATGTGAATAAATAAAAGCAATCACTTTAAGACTTAAATTCTGGCTGGGTACAGTGGCTCACTCATGTAATCCCAGCACTTTGGGAGGCTGAGGCGGGTGGATCACCTGAGGTCAGGAGTTCGAGACCATCCTAACCAACATGGAGAAACCCCGTCTCTACTAAAATAACAAAATTAGCCGGGTGTGCTGATGCATGTCTGTAATCCCAGCTATTTGGGAGGCTGAGACAGGAGAATTGCTTGAACCTGGGAGGTGGAGGTTGTGGTGAGCTGAGATCTCACCATTGCACTCCACCCTGGGCAACAAGAGTGAAACTTCATCTCAAAAAAAAAAAAAAAAAAAAAAAAAGACTTAAATTCCATGATATCCACAACCAAAAATTAACTCAAGTATTTATTGAGTGCTTACCATGTGCCAGGCACTGTTACAGGCCCAAGGACCAAAACAGTCAAAAATGCCCTGCTTTCATAGAGTTTTTATTCTAATGTTGGGGGGAGGTAGTCAATGCACAAATTAAATAAGAAAAACATATACAGTATCAGGTGATAACATGTACTGTGGGGAGAAATTAAACAAGGGGCATGAGGATACCGAGTGGAAGGAGTTCCTTCTAATGTACTTCTATGTCGTCTTTTGTTATTCATGAGTGCTTATCACAATGTAGTGAAAATACCAATTTACTCTTTATTCACTAGTAGACTTTAGGGAGGACAGAAGCCATCTCTTTTTGATTCAGTATTGTGCCCCACACTCCTGACATACAGAATTCTGTAATACATATTTGTTAAGAAAAGAATGCATCATCACTGATGTAATAGGTAAAATTTTTCTCCGCCACTTACCTTGGGTAGGTGGATGTATCCTTTCTAATCTTCCATTTCCTCATCAGTTAAAATTGCATACTTGCCTCAGAGGATTGTCTTGGAGGATTATCTTAAATAATGTGTACAGAATGCTTGGAACTGTGCTTAACCTACAGTGAGCTCTCAGAACTTAGCCATTGTTGCTATGGTGGGACAACAGTAACGGGTGCCACAGAGATTTGGGATTAAGGGAGATAAGATTGTACTCTGGGAGATAAGGCAGAAGCTCGACATGTGGTAGATTAGAACTGGATGGGTAAATTTCTCTTTGAGCAACTAAATGTCTATAGTTAACTTCAACCTTGTGGGGATGAAGTATTGAACACATACTGTACATAAAGCAAATTGGTAGGTGATAAGGATTATAACAATTGCTGAGGCATGATTTGTATCCTGGAATTGCTTAAAATATAAAGTGAGAGTTAAGATGTTAAAGAAATGACTAATACAGTAATTATAAGAATTGTACAAACAAGGAGCTAGAAGAAGTGAAAGGAGGGAAAAATCATTTCTGAGTGAATCAGGGGCACTCCAAAGGAGCTTTTCTGTTTTATATGAATCTTAATAGATTAGATGTATCTCATGTTGACTTCCTCTTTTTTATCTTTTTCTTTTCTACAGTACTTTACCTCGTGTGGGCATTTATTCCTGAATCTTGGCTAAACTCTTTAGGTTTAACCTATTGGCCTCAAAAGTAAGTTTAATATATTTCTTAAATGAGGATACGATTAATGCTGTTTTGAAGAATCATATCCTTTCTTAAAACTACCCAAATCTTAAATATTCTCTTAAAATTCATGAATAGCCATATAGAAACTGAAAGCTTTTTAAAGATCACTATTGATATATATCTAATTAAAGATGGTGGCATGAACACACGTTTATGTCCATCCATTTCCTTCAAAAATCTTGCTGAAATTACCCTACAGGAAAAAAAAAATTAAGATATAAACCCACAGAAACAATAGGATAGCAGAAAAGAGATATCAACATTTTGGAAAGTGGATTGCGATAGGTGAGAGGTCTCTGTTTCTGTGTTTTTCACATTGTTGAAATAGGGATGCCAGCAAGAATATTTGTACCCTTGAATAGCTCAGACATTGGAGTACTAGGTAGCTGTTTAATTCTGGGTTTTACCGAAAACATGTTTGAAGACCATGTGAAGGCTCTAGCCTTCAAATTTCTCTCCCTCAGCCCTCAAAGCTGGGAGACCCACCCTGCCCTTCCCTGCAGAAAACAGGAGTTTTACTCTCTGGCAAGGTTGAGTCTCTAGCTTGGGGGCCACTTAGTCTAAGTGTGGTAATGAGGCATCTTACTGAAAACAAGGGAGCAAGTGAAAATCTGCATGGCTTAATGAGAAAGTTTACCTCCTCCTCCATCTTCCCTCTCTGGGCTTCCAGGCTTATAATACCCTACTACACACAGAAAAAGACCCCAGTGAAGTGGCCAGGTCTCTTAGAGTGAGGCTCACCAGTTGACCATCCCTGCCCACATACACATAGTGCTTCCAACTCACTTGTTAGCACTTCATTTTTAAATATGGATGGATTACTCTAAGTGACCAGACATTGAAAGAAAGCCTCTAGCATGAAATGAAAAAGCAGAAAAGTAAAGGGAATTTGAAGGAAATAGAGATAATGCAGAAAACAGAAAAAAAAATTCAATAACTTTAAATTCTCAAGAGGTAAAAGACATAACTATGAAACAAGAACAGAATGCTATACAAAAGGAATGTTCAGGAAATTACTGTATTTGGAAAATGTAAACATTATAGCCAAAATTAAAATTTTAATTGAAAGATTAGAAAATCAAACATAGGTAATCTCTAGAAATTAGAACAAAAAAAAATGGAATAAAAATCTAACTATTAGAAGTTCCAGAAAGAGAAAATGATAGAGAACAAATAATTTCAAAAAATAATAATAATAAACCTGGGCAACATCTCAATACCCCATTTCTACAAAAAAAATTAAAAATTAGCTAGACGTGGTGGTGTACACCTATAGTCCCAGCTACTTCCAGGGCTAAAGTGAGCTCGGGAGGTTGAGGCTACAGTGAACTATGATCACACCATTGCACTCCAGCCTGGGTGACAGATGCTTTCTTTAAAACAAAAACAAAAACCACTCAATAAAAAATAGCGCTTCGTGTACTTGATGATACTGAGAGGCATAATAGAGTCTTAACAGAGAATTTGAGTCTCTGGTATTGATGGACACATGGGAAACCAAGTGAACAGACAAACGTAATTATTCAAGAAAAAACAAAATGTTGTACAAGAAAATACATAATAGGCCGGACACAGCCATCTTGGCCAACATGATGAAACCTCATCTCTACTAAAAATATGAAAAAATTAGCTGGGTATAGTGGCACATGCCTGTAGTCTTAGCTACTTGGGAGGCTGAAGCAGGAGAATCACTTGAACCCGGAAAGCAGAGGTTGCAGTGAGCCGAGATCATGCCACTGCATTCTAGCCTGGGTAATAGAGCCAAGACTCCATCTCAAAAAAGAAATATATATATATATATATCATAATAATGCACTAAGATGCTCAGTTGCAAAATTATTTATATAGTTAGAATTCTATTTCTAAAACCTGCTGCTATAATGAGAAATTGTGATGTAACTATAGAAGAGGATAGGAGGACATTAATTCCTCATCTCCGTATTAGGAAGTCTAGAGAAAATGTCTAATAGAAAAAAATGAACAGTACTATGAGCATGTTATGTAGCAATGAGGAAGTAAGTACCAGAAGACAACCCAGGGTTGGGTTGGTAGATAGAGGACTGCAGCTTTTCGTTTTAAGTCTTGTGGAACTATTTGTCTCTTATGTGCATATATTACTTTATAAAATTTAAATTTAAAAACTGTTGGCCTTGTGACTGACTCTTGAGAATTGCAACTTTTAAAAGTGTCTATTATGTACTTTAATATTCTCTTTGGCAGATACTGGGCAGTTGCATTACCTATCTACCTCCTTATTGCTATAGTAATTGGCTATGTGCTCTTGTTTGGAATTAACATGATGAGTACCTCTCCACTTGACTCCATTCATACAATCACAGGTAACTTTATATAAAAGGAAAGTGCTGGGGCAATGAAAGAGTGGAGTATTGGCACTTTTACCCGGAAAAGCAACAAGAACAGGCTGCAAAACATACATTGGTGGTGCATGCCTGTAATTCCACCTACTGGGAGGCTGAGGGAGGAGAATCGCTTGAACCCAGGAGGCAGAGGTTGCAGTGAGCCTAGATTGCACCACTGCACTCCAGCCTGGATGACAAGAGTGAAACTCCATCCAAAATACACACACACACACACACACACACACACACACACACACATACAAACACAAACACACACACACAAACATATATACATACGCATTGGGACAGTAAAAAGAAGCTAAGAGAAATCAAACTTATACAAGGAAATATTTGCATGAAGGAACTAAGTTCTGATGAATATGCACCAGCTATACTCATGGAAAAAATAAATTGTAGTGAATTATAGCACTGGTTAGCAGGTATTTGCTCCCATAAAAACCACAAGTATATTCAATATGTATCTATAATATGTTCACGTTAACTTTGCCTGAGGGAAACTTCTTTTATCCTGCACAGACACTGTTGATTAAGGGATAGCAAATAGTACATGCAGACCTTGTTCAGGAAGAGGACTTTGGCGCATGTATCCTCCTCAGGATCATTGTGTACTCCACATTCCAGTTAGTGGATAAAAGAGTCACAATAGGTTTGTGTGGTTTTATTTTTTTGAAGTTCTTTCAAGTCTAAAGATCAATATGAATCAGACTCCTGAGCTTGCTTAGATTCTAGAAAGTAAAGTATTTTTTAAGTTCCCTGGTATGATTTTTCAACTTTTTAAAACCTTTATTTATTAGCCTCTACAATGTATTTTAAAAATCGATAATACTATTTTCGAATGTCTTTCTGATACATTGCATTCCACGCATTCTTGATTGGAATTGGCAGCAAATAGACAATTTGTGCAAAGAGGGGAAATTGTTAAGTTTGTATGAATATTTATACCAAATGATTTAATAGTTTTGCGGTGTCAATTTAAATGCATTTTCAAGGGTTGGATCTAATTCTGTTCCTATGAGAAATGTGCAGATGAGAGTCTAATTATCATTGTACAGTTGAATGAAATATTAATTTCTTTCCAAGTTAGAGATGAAAAAAGTACTTTGCTGATTATGTTTTTATTTTAATTGGGACATTTCTTCCAAAGAGAAGATTTAAGTAATCATTTATGTTAAACATGTTTCTCACTATCCAGATATCAGCCTAGTAAATTGTGGGTCTCCATCAGACACAGAGACTGAAGAAGAAATTGCTTGGGTAAACAGAGCTTTTTGGTCTTTTCTTACAGATAGCTATGCTAAAAATCAACAGCAGAAGAAACACCAAGAGGAGGCTATTCCGGCATTAAGAGATATTTCTATTACTGAAGTAAACCAAATGTTCTTTCTTGCAAACAAAGAACTTTACTCCAAAAACTGAATTGTATGTAACCATACTAACACCAAGAATGTATTTATTTATGTTTGCCATTATAATTTTGACCATAAATTAATTCGACCATCTCTCTTATTAATAAAGGAGATGTAAAAAATGTAACTTGACCTTCTTTTAGATTATGTTCAATGAATATTGTAAATGTTCTCAAGTATTAATTGTTAATGAACAGAATAAATACAATATTGCATTACCATATAGCAGACTTTTTAAAAAAGTGTCAGTATAATCAAGCAGTTCCTCTAGAGAGACATTTATTTTGTAATTTGCAAAGGGCAATGATGTCCTTCCTCCTGTTTGTCCTGAGGGGCCGAGAATTCAAACCCTTAGTTTTGGGGAAGGGTACATTTAGTATTTATGCCATCAGATTCATGTCTAAGACACAATTATTTGTTGAGTACTCCCTGTGCATCAGATATTTTTCTAGGCACTAGGGATGATGTAATGGTAAGATTCTCTCTCAAAGAGCTTATATTTTAGAAGCAAGGTGAGGCCAACTGAGCAAACAGGAAATATAATTTGATGAGTGCTATGCAGTGAATTAAGATAATGTCTTCTAGAATGCAAAGGGATGACTAGTTCCCTTTGGGTAGTCAAGGAAGGCCTCTCAGAGAGAGGCTGTTGGGATCTAAGTATGAAGCAGGTGAGGCAACGACCATAGATGAGAAGGAACTTGGTGTGTCCTAAGAACAGAAAGAAGACTGGCATTGGGCATGGAACAAACCGAACAAGGAAAAATGTGGTCCCAGGTGAGCCTGGAGAAACTGGGCCCAGATTGTAAAGGGCTTTGTAGGCCAGTGTAGGAAGTGTGGGTTAAATGTAAGTGTGATGAGTTTGAGGTACTTTAGGAACAAGCTGTTGGAAGTCTTGAAGGAGAGGAATGACGTGACCTGATTTCTGTTTTTTTAAGTCATTCTGACTGGTGAATGGAGAATGGATTCAGAGGGGGAGCTGGGAAGGGGACAAGAGTGTGGAGGTAAGATCGTTAGGAGGCTGTTGCGTTAGTCCAGGCAAGAAATGATTGCTGCTGACGCTGGAGTGGTGGTGGAGCTGGGGAGAGTGGATAGCTTTACAGCATTTTGTTGGAGAAGAGATAGGTAACTGGGTATTTGGATTTGATTGTGCAGGCTAGGCAGAGCTGGCTAAGAGAAACTGATCAAGGGTCACTCCTAGATTTTTTTTTATTAAGGAAATGAGTAGATGTTTATGCTTTTCTTGACTCAGACAAACTTTGGGGAAGTGCAGTTGAGGGGTAGAGAATTTGTATGTGAAATGGCTTGAATGGCATTGCCTTATGAATACCCGGATGTTTCTTGTATATGATAAAGAAGCTTAGACAGAAATAAGATACTGTTTAAACCATGTATGACTTAGCCAGAGTATGCTCACAATTAGCCGATGGAATGAAATTCAGATTTCTTTAGCACTCAGGGCCCTCCAACTTTTGGGGTTTGTTTTTTTTTAATTGTTGTTGTTTGGTTTTGGGGGTGTTTTTTGAAACAGTCTCACTCTGTTCCCCAGGCTGGAGTGCAGTGACGCAATCTCAGCTCACTGCAACCTCTGCCTCCCAGATTCAACTGGTTCTTCTGGCTCAGCCTCCTGAGTAGCTGGGACTACAGGTGCACACCACCATGCCTAGCTAATTTTTATACTTTTAGTAGAGATGGCGTTTCACCATGTTTGGCCAGGCAGGTCCCAAACTCCTGACTTCAAGTGATCTGCCCACCTCAGCCTCCCAAAGTGCTGGGTTTACAGGCATGAGCCACAGTGCCCAGCCCCCTCCAATTTTTTTTTTTTTTTTGGAGACAGAGTCTCATTCTGTCACCCAGCATGGTGTGCAGAGGTGTGATCTCAGCTCACTGCTACCTCCACCTCCCAGATGCAAGCGATTCTCCTGCCTCAGCTTCCTAAGTAGCTGGGTTTATAGGCACGCACCACCACGCCTGGCTAATTTTTGTATTTTTAGTAGAGATGGGGTTTCACCATGTTGGTCAGGCTGGTCTCCAACTCCTGACCTCTTGATCCACCCACTGTGGCCTCTCAAAGTGTTGAAATTACAGGCGTGAGCCACCGCATCCGACCACCCTCCAACTTTTGACACCCTAAATCTCTGCACCGCCTGGCTGGACTTTTTCTTTGGGATATAATCATATACATGTATTTACACACAGAAATGGAGTCACATACATTATTTTATTTATCTTCATTTTTATTTTTGAGACGAGTCTTGCTCTGTCACTAAGACTGGAGTGCACTGGCACCATCTTGGCTCACCACAACCTCCACCTCCCGGATTCAAGCGATTCTCCTGCCTCAGGCTCCCGAGTACCTGGGATTACAGGCACCCACCACCATGCCTGGTTAATTTTTGTGTTTTTAGTACAGATGGAGTTTCACCATGTTGGCCAGGCTGGTCTTGAACTCCTGACCTCAAATGATCGGCCTGCCTTGGCCTCCCAAACTGCTGGGATTACAGATGTGAACCACCAAGCCTGGCCTGAGTCACATATTTTAACATGCAAATTTATACCTCTGCAAAAAAAAGAAAACTAATTATTTTAAGTAATTGAGAACACTAGGACTTCCTTTCAATAACCATATCCTCACCGAGTAAGCATTAGATGGATAATGTGAATCTGCTTTTCCTGTTCCCTAGTTTGTCCCAGTTGGCTAATTTTTAAATTTTTTTTTCTGTCGTAACAGCGTCTCCCTATATTGCCCAGGCTGTGAGACGTTTTTGTTTTGTAAAAATTGTGCCTCTCCCATGATGTCTAATGATGTCTTAATTTAATAAAAAGGTTGGAAAGATACTGTTTTGCAGTGAGCCCAAATAATAGCATAAAATTCTCCAAATAGAAAGTGTCAATAATGCAAAAAATTTCCAAATACTAACAAAACCTCCTCCAGTGATTCAACTCCCAGGGAGAAATAAAAGCCCAGGTATGAAATTGCCTAATAATGAAAAGCCAACAGAATTTAAATCCAAAGTCCTGCTCTCCCTAATTTCTTGACCTGCCCTGTATTAGTTAAAAGGATCTCAATCCGATGCCTGGGTTTCCTCAAGAAGCTGCTGTCCAGGCTCTCATAAGAATGGGAGTCATTCCTTAAGCCAATTGACCCAACCCAAAATTTCTTGCATCTTCCACTTTTTTAAAGATTCCTTAGGATGCAGAGAAATATCATACAGTCTCATGCCCATAGAACTTTGAAAACCCAAATAAATCAACTTCTACAGCAAAAGTGCTGAAACCCAGTACATTGTATAGTACAGACCCACCTGCCAGTAACTAGAACAGACTTGATGGAATGGGGAAAAGGAAGACAGAAAAAGGAAGAGGAAAGGAGAAATTCTTCTTGATTGATCTTGCTGGGGTACAGGTCATGCTGTGGCAGTTTTCATGGGTCTCAATCACTCAGTTTAACACAATTAGGTTAACGGTGGCACTATTTACTACTTTGGGGCTGGAGGAAATGTACTTATCCCAACTTTTGTAGTCAGGAGAGTCTGTCATTCTGTGGTAAAATAACCCTAAAATTTCAGTGGCTTAACAGAGTTTAGTTTTCAAAGAACTGTACTTTGAGATAGCCACCAAATCTGAACAGGGCCACATGGACAAGCACAGGGGATGTTTCAGTGATGACCTATCTGGACCTATGACTGAGGACCAGATGTTCTCTCTGTGCCTCGTCACCACTTAAGTCCCAAAGGCCAGAAATCCAATGGAAATCTCAGGGACCAAAGGAGTCAGAGTCAGAAATGGCATTATGGAAAATATAATTATTGAACCAAGTGCAATTTGTGGACTGAGTTTTTTATGTTCACATAATGCAGGGTAAATTATTGTCCAATAATTCAATACCTGCCTAAGGCTTTTTCTGCAAATCCAGCATGCCCAAGCTCTGCTTGTGTAGGTTACGGTCACAGGGGACCCCATGACAAGGGCTGGAAGAAGCCAGCTAGAGCCTCAGTGACTCAGATGTCACATTCCAATTGCACTGTAATCAGCCCACTTGTATCGTAAAACCTGTTTACACAAAGCCTGGCATATTAGAAGCAGCTGTGAGTCAGCCTGCATCAGCTGCTGCTGCTGCCCCAAGAGACCCATCTCTCCCTGTGATGCTTTGGTTTCTATGGCAACCTCTTTTGACTATTCTGAGTGAATGCACCGTGTGTGGGCACATCCTAGGGAAAATTCAATCACTTGCTCCTCACCATTCTGTGAAGGACTTAACGCACCTGCTAAGAATTAAAATACAGCGTCCATCTTATTACTGATAGAGCCAGATTTTCAAGTGCTGCATAAGCCTGAAGCTAAAATCATGCTTTATTTTCTAAATGCAGACTTGGGGACTGATGTGAGGAGGACTGGGCCCATGCCTAGAGACATGGCCCGACCAGCTGCATGCTCAGGAGGTGGGAGGGCCAGGTGGACAGCAGACAGCTCCATGCAGTCACTCTTGGCTCATTTTCACCCGTCGGATAAGTCACAGCTCTTCCCAGGGTACACCCCTTTACACAAGAATATGGGGAAGACAGAGCGGCAGAAGTGGCTTCCCCACTGCTACCCCAAGAAGGCGGAAGTATTGCAATTGCTGAGGCAAAAGCATGAGAAAGGCAATGGCTACTAGTCACTTGGGTTGTCTCCTGTTTTCCCCTATTTTAAACAACAAGTACAACAAACATCTTTGTGGATAAACTTTATGAAATTGTGTCCTTGGGCTAAGTTTCTTGTATTGGAATTACTTCAGGCTGAAAGAGCTTGAATGTTGATATTGTTTGGCTCTGTGTCCCCACCCAAACCTTATTTCAAATTTTAATCCCTGTGTGTTGAGGAAAGGACCTAGTGGGAGGTGACTGGATCATGGAGGAGGTTTCCCCCATGTTGTTCTCGTAATAGTGAGGGAGTCCTCATGAGATCTGATGATTTAAAAGTGGCAGTTTCCCCTGTTCTCTCCCTCTCTCCTGCTGCTATGTAAGACGTGCCTTGCTTCCCCCTTGCCTTCTGCCATGATTTTAAGTTTCCTGAGGCCTCCCCAGCCATGTGGAAGTGTGAGCCAATTAAACCTCGATTGTTTATAAATTACCCAGTCTCAGGTAGTATCTTTATAGCAGTGTAAGAACGGACTAATACATAATACTAATGTAAAACGGACTAAGATTCTTAATATAAAATGCCAGACTGAGCTCCAAAAGGGTT